TCGTTTGATACATGGATCTAAATATTTTTTGTTAGGGCTGCGGTAAAACAATTTGCAATCAGACATTTTGTTCCCAACTCATGAGACCTACAGCGGGTACCCGGGTAGGGTCAGGTAATAGGGGTTTGGGTACCCGGGTAGTAAATTTGGACTTGTCCAAGGCTGGGACTCCCAGCCCTAGATGAAGGTACAGTGTATTCCAGACTTATGCGATCTTAATATGCACATATAACGTTAAAATATGGTGTCCAACAAAATTGACAGTTCCTTGGCTGCTGGAATAAGAAAAGATGATGGTACAATGTAAGAAAAAAGCTTACAATGTTTTACTTGGATACTTTTATACATGTTTTAATGTACATACGATGTCTCATAAGCCTGTAAAGGCTGGGTGCAATACTGATGATAATTGCTTTTTTGTTTTTATGCAGTATGTATATGTTATTTGCACGTGACATCTTAATAAAATATTCTCTCTCTCAGTCTTATGTATCACAGGTTTATTTATCACACTTTAAAAGTGAATCTTTTTTGGAATGTTTTTAAAATATAAATTCAGAATGTCTGACCAGACTTCCAGTGAATACCATCACAATTTGTAGTAATAATTCTGTACTTGTAGCCTGAATATATCAAGTGTTTATATAGGACTACAATCTGACTTAATCAAGAATGGATCTATTTGCCTCCAGAACACAATAAGGGAGTCTAGCTCTTGTGTCATTAACTATGAGTACCATGAAATACCGGTAAGAAAGAAAATGATATTTTGGAAGAAGTTGCTCTGAAGGTATCAGAGCTAAAAAAAGAGTGATTCACATTTAAATTTATTTGATTGAAATCAGATATTATTTGCTTAAATCTGAGGTTTTTCAAAAGAGTACAAATGAGTGTTTGATGAGAAACTAACTTTAAGGCAGCGATCACCTTTTAGAAGACATTCTGTGAAGGAAGCACAAATGTGGAAAGTAAAAACTTATTCTCTTTTTAATTAAAATTACATATATTTTATTGCTGAACTTTTTTTAGGCTGAGTATCCCGTTTTGTTGTTGATGTGTCCTCTTTGTGCACAGAACAGGACAGAATCATTCTTTAGATATGTTTGTTCATTTCTCTATGGAGACATTACACTATGATTTGTGTGATACATGTACTACTTTATCAACAAGCTTTTTGTTTTCTTCTAAAAAAACATTTTAATAGGAATAAATTGCTAAATACAATGGTGTTCACAAAGACCAGATATATCATGTAATAAGTCATGTTATGTATCTGGGATAAATGTATGGAAGGCCATGGGGGCTGTGCTGGAAAATAGAATCTTGAAAACAGATGTAGGACTCATGTGATTTATGTGAAGAGAATTTGTCCCCCTGCTCTGTGCTGTAGTTGTTAAATTAGGACATGGCGACATTTTTTTTCATTTCTTGGTTTATGGATGCGTCGCTCTTTCCAAGTCCAAATGTTAAAAAGAAATAAAAATGAAAATTACCCTTTTTTTATTACCGTAGATCTTTTCGTCAAAAAGTTCAAACTAAAAAAGATTTCATTTCCTCTTTGAGCTTGAAGCAAAGGAAGTCACTCTAATATTTCTCCCTGGGATCCTTCTCAAATACCATTAAAGCTTGTCAAAGCAAAGCACAGTGGTGACCAGTTTAACTCTTTCAACACTGTTGGCTGGTACACAGGTCAGGGAGCCATGAGTCACCAGACACTGCAGGGTAGACTGGTCAAGTCACGTCAGAATAGTTTATAATTTTATGAACCTACTTCATTTATTACATCTCTCATGTTTCTCATGAAATACGTATTCCATTTGAATTTATCATTTTTTATCAATACCGTATTTTCTTGAGTATAGTGCGCACCCATGTATAATGCGCACCCCCCCCCCTCTAGCGGTTCAATATTTTGGAAAAAAAGAAATTTGAATATTATGCACAGAAAATTTTTACACCGTACCCTTTCAGCGAAGTCCGGCAAACGAACGGGTGCTGAGAAACTTCGTCAGTACAAATTCGAAATTTGAGATAAAAAATCACCAGACATGTTTATTTACCGTTTAAAAAGTATTTATTGTTCTGCTAGGCATTGTTTTATATTTAGGGATTAAGATTACCTTGCGTATTTTCTCGTAAACTAAGCTGGAAACAGCAATCAGCTGTACACACATTTTCTTGGAATCGACCGGTGATTTGGTCAAGACACACCCAATGATATAACTTTATAAGATTTTTAATGCAAGGATCGGCAACGATTGTATCTGAAACTATTTTATTTATCAGGAATAATATATTCCATTATTTTCTTAATTATATGCAACCTTTACTAAACATATTTAAAATAATAATAACCCTAAGCGAAGCAGCTGATCGCTATTCCCGGGTATTATTTTTTACATGGAACATGTCTGACCAGTCACCTTCAAGGCTCACGCGCACGTGATCACGTGATCGCGAGAATTTCATGTTGACATAGAATCGTCAAACAAAAACAAATATGACTTTTAACGAGGCAAAGTATGTCATTTATGATATATGTATCCATTCTCTGTCAACTAAAGTTTGTTTCAAGGCGTCGAAAAAGATTAGATTAAAAAATTATTCACTATTTCCCACAATGTTTTTGAAAATAAAATTCTCGGACACACTTCGACAACGGGTCCTCATCGAACATGTCAAACAGCAAAATAAAGATGTCAAACAAATCCTTAAATATATTATACAAAGTAATAAAATAAAAAAAAATATCTCTAAAAGTTGCCAAACTGACATCTAAGTTTTATCAGCGCCAGGCTTCACAATATACGATGTCTGCCCCTCTACAACCCCAAGGAACCAGCGCTAGGCTTCACAATATACAATGTCTGCCCCTCTACAACCCCAAGGAACCAGCGCTAGGCTTCACAATATACTATATCCATCCCCCTACAACCCCAGGAACCAGCCCCAGGCTTTACAATATACAATGTCCGCCCCTCTACAACCCCACGAACCAGCACAAGGCTTCACAATATACAACATCCAATCCTCTACAACCCCAGGAACCAATGCAAGGCTTCCCAATATACAATGTCTGCCCCTCTACGACCCCAGGAACGAGCGCCAGGCTTCACAATATACTATATCCCCCCCTACAACCCCAGGAACCAGCACAAGGCTTCACAATATACAACATCCAATCCTCTACAACCCCAGGAACCAATGTCAGGTTTCACAATATTCACAAACCACCCCCTCTTCAACCCCCAGAACCAGCACTAGGCTTCATAATTTAAAACATCCAATCCTCTACAACCCCAGGAACCAGTGCTAGGCTTCACAATGTACAACATCCACCCCTCTACAACCCCAGGAACGGGGGCCAGGAACCAATGCTAGGCTTCAAGGCAACATGGGCCACATCCATGTAGGAAATGAGACATTAATGAGCATCTTGTGATACGTTCTTGTCATGATATCTGAAGTCACATCTTGCTTGTGCCTGTCAATGAATAAGAGTTGGCCTGTTTGTAGCATCATTAGACAAGCCACTTATGACTGAAATATCCATGTAAATTTGTTGGAGACATACTTTTTCTACCAGAAAGTGCACAAAAAACAAAAAATGCAAATCTAAACTTGAACCTTTATGTTCATATACTCCATATACGTCCATTTTGATAAATTGAAGTCAAGATGTCAGACTGTAGGCTGTGTGACATGCTTGTTAATCTGGTAATAGAACACTCTGCTTTTGAACCGGAATAAACTGTATCATGGCAGAGGCTGTGGACACATGTGCATGACATGTTCAGGATATTTATGCACAGGCAGGTCGGAGGCCATCTTTCTTTTGTCATGTGAGTTTCCTTAATCTGATGCATCTCTGTATCACGTCTCAATCTGGCCAGAGTTGTCTTAGTTCTGAAAACACACAAGGAAATTGATCCTTGGAGGTTGGTGAGTGGGGAGAGATGTATGATGCTGTTGGCAATCTTGTAGTTATATCAAAGGATTTGGACACTGAAGTCATAGACATCAGAGGCGTACAGTAATGGTTTCAGACAGAATTGATTGACCTGAAGAACTGAACCAGGGCCCTGTATGTGACGGGGGATTGGGATGACAACTTGGCTACCTGTCATCCCCACCTCTGAAGCCGTTCTGTTAACATCCACAAAAGGGACGTTAGGTATAATGAAAGGGAACAGATTGGTCTTCACAATAGTTGTGGACTTTGAGTGAGTGAGTTGGGTTTAACGTCGCTTTTAACAGTATTCCAGTTATATCGCAGCGTGTCAGCTTAATGTGATGGAAAGCCCGAAGTGATGCAGGTCTCAGATGTTTACCACTTCAGTGAAACCCATGAGCACGGGTATGGTGCTGACAAACCTAGAAACATAATCGGGGCGAACCAGGATTCGAACCAACAATCATAGGTTTCTGGCGTGCCCAAGGGACGCAACTCTGCACAGCGAATCGCGGCGCCTTAGACAACTGGGCCACAGGTAGACTTTGAAAATCATGGTCGCTCTGTATGGAAACATGAGCACTCACCGTTAACTAGATTCACATTGTGACAGTCTCATTAGGAAATGAAATCTGGTTTGTTTACTGAAATGAAGCCAGCATTAATGTGCTTTCAAAATGAAAACATTTAATCTGTAGTCTTAATTATTCATTTGTGAAATCAGTTGTCTTCCCTTTTATGTGAACAAGAACAAAAATATTGTTTCATATTCATGTTAAGACGATTAATACATTTGATGATAATGATGATGATGTCACTAACGTGACATAGCTGTAATAATGCTGATAGATGTTGCCTATATTCACTGCTCAGGTTGGTGTCACAGCTCAGGCTGGTGTGACAGCTCAGGCTGGTGTGACAGTTCAGGTTGGTGTCACAGTTCAGGTTGGTGTCACAGCTCTGACAGGTGTCACAGTTCAGGTTGTGTCACAGCTCTGACTGGTGTCACACCCCAGGTTGGTGTCACAGCTCAGGTTGGTGTCACAGTTCAGGTTGTGTCACAGCTCTGACTGGTGTCACAGCTCAGGTTGGTGTCACAGCTCTGACAGATGTCACAGCTCAGGTTGGTGTCACAGCACTGACTGGTGTCACATCCCAGGTTGGTGTCACAGCTCTGACAGGTGTCACAGCTCAGGTTGGTGTCACAGTTCAGGTTGGTGTCACAGTTCAGGTTGGTGTCACAGCTCTGACAGGTGTCACAGTTCAGGTTGGTGTCACAGCTCTGACAGGTGTCACAGTTCAGACAGGTGTCACAGTTCAGGTTGGTGTCAGAGTTCAGGTTGGTGTCACAGTTCAGGTTGGTGTCACAGTTCAGGTTGGTGTCACAGCTCTGACAGGTGTCACAGTTCAGGTTGGTGTCACAGCTCTGACAGGTGTCACAGTTCAGGTTGGTGTCACAGCTCTGACAGGTGTCACAGTTCAGGTTGGTGTCAGAGTTCAGGTTGGTGTCAGAGTTCAGGTTGGTGTCACAGCTCTGAAAGGTGTCACAGTTCAGGTTGGTGTCACAGCTCTGACAGGTGTCACAGCTCAGGTTGGTGTCACAGCTCTGACAGATGTCACAGCTCAGGTTGGTGTTACAGCTCTGACTGGTGTCACAGCTCAGGTTGGTGTCACAGCTCTGACAGGTGTCACAGCTCTGACAGGTGTCACAGTTCAGGTTGGTGTCACAGCTCTGACAGATGTCACAGTTCAGGTTGGTGTCACAGCTCTGACAGATGTCACAGTTCAGGTTGGTGTCACAGCTCTCACAGGTGTCACAGCTCTGACAGGTGTCACAGTTCAGGTTGCTGTCACAGTTCAGGTTGGTGTCACAGCACTGACAGATGCCACAGTTCAGGTTGCTGTCACAGTTCAGGTTGCTGTCACAGCACTGACAGGGGTCACAGTTCAGGTTGCTGTCACAGCTCTGACAGGTGTCACAGTTCAGGTTGCTGTCACAGCACTGACAGGTGTCACAGTTCAGGTTGGTGTCACAGCTCTGACAAATGTCACAGTTCAGGTTGGTGTCAGAGTTCAGGTTGGTGTCAGCGTTCAGGTTGGTGTCACAGTTCAGGTTGGTGTCACAGCTCTGACTGGAGTCTCAGTGAGATGACAGAGATCATGCATGGTGAGTGTGTCCTGTAATCAGATCAATAATGAACACAGACACCACCTGAGCAATGAAGTGATAGATGGAGGTTAATCAAACAGAGCTTATAGCTGCGGTGTCCCTGTGTTAGGAGCAAAGTTGGAGCTGGACCGGAAATTTGGCTTGAATGTTGAAGCCAGAGAGACTAATTACTCCTGGCGACTTTCCACATCCATATGGCACCTTTCACAGGGAGGACACGGTCGCTTCAGTCTGTCAGAAAACACATCACAAGAAATCAAATTTTGTGGAGCTTATTTTATGTATTTGACAGGAATTTTTGACTCCAAGTAATGTGACTGCTGTATGTACACTGCACATGGCCCGGTCAAGTATTCCAGTTGAAAGTTATTACTGGAGTTTTTCCACATACATTTTTTCTCTGGCTATATTTTCCAGATCTAGGTTATACCCTCCCCAAACCTCAAACTTTTTTGAAGCTACAAGGTAAATCACCATAAACAGTGTCATTGCACCCATAATATGATGTTTGGTAACATGTATCTTGGGAAATAATTTCCTAGGTTTGAGATGTTATGTTTTAAAAAATCATTACATTGATATGAAAACAGTTGAAGTGCTTGATACAATTTTATTGTTCAATTAATTTTGTATTTAATAATAGGCCTACGTGTGGATACTCATAGCCTGTTCTTCCACCCATTCTTCTTTTTTCAGTTTCCGAATAATATGGTAAATGGGGTTTAACATCGCGTCCAAGATTAATGCACTTATATAGCGACGTGCATGCACATGTGTGTGTTGGTGGCTGCTTGTACTAGTCGGGACTGATGCCGATTTATAGTAGCCTGCAACCTCAGGGTATCGCGATACTTGTCGTGTACGCTAAACGGAACAAAATGCACTCACTAACCTTTATGATTATTCATGTTCTCTATATCAGGTGTACTTTATTTTATCTAACAATGCATATTTTACTGATAAGTTCATTATTTACATTAGTAGCTCCGAGTAAAAGCCGGGCCTCGCGCTCAGTTTGACAAGGGAGAGAACTCCATCGTATCGCGGTACAGAGAAAAAGTGTATGGAGGTCCGAATTGGACAAAAAGAGGACATAATTCTACCAACCACTTGGTATGATCATGCCAGACATCAGTGATTTGTCCAGACAAGTGCAAAGACAGCACAAGTAAAATTCTAAATGTGTTATCAGTAATAGGTATTCAGTGCATAATTACCGAAAAGTAAGAGAAGAATATTTTAAAAATCAACAGCAAAATCTAAGAAATGATATTCTAAGATTGTTTAAAAAAAAAATTGGATGACAATAATTTGTCATGAAATGGAATAATGTTAAAAGTCAACAATAAATATATGAAAAGCACTCCTAGTATGCCCAAAGTATGTATTTATCTTTTGGCTACTAGTGAAGAACGTATTTCTAAGTTTGGCATTATGGTCCTTATGATCTCGCAATAGATTCTCGGCACAGAGCGGGAAAAAATGTGCGGACTACGTAACTTCAGTGGTTTAACGTCGCGTCCAAGATTATTGCAATTTTATAGCGACGTGCATGCACATGTGTGTGTGCGTGTGTGGCTGCTTGCCTGACTGATGCCGATTTATAGTCCTAGGACACTGAGATACCATGCCACAGTTTAACATGAATACCCCACTCAGACACAGTATACTGACGCCGAGCCGACCAGTCCTTGTTTTAGCCCCTTACTGCCAAGTGCAGTAACAACAAGTACCATCTTTTAACATCTTTTGGTATGCCGCGGCTGGGGATCGAACCCCGGACCTTCCGTTCTCTGGGGGGAAGCTCTATGGTAGATGAGAGCCATGAGAGAAGTTGAGATGTGCAGTGTGTTATATACACAGACATACATCCTGTCTCCTTGTGCCTAAGTGACCCGTAAAGATCCAGGGTAGAATAGGTCTTCAGCAACCCATACTTGCCGTAAAAGGTGACTATGCTTGCCATAAGAGGCGACTAACGGGATCGGGTGGTCAGGCTCGCTGACTTGGTTGATGCATGTCATCGTATCCAAATTGCGTGGTTTGATGCTCATGATGTCTGAAAGGAGTAAACCCGTGAAGATCTGGGCAAGGATAGGTCTTCAGCAACCCATGCTTACCGTAAAAGGCGACTATGCTTGTCATAAGAGGCGACTAACGGCATCGGGTGGTCAGGCTCGCAGACTTGGTTAATGCATGTCATCGATCCCAATTGCGTGGATCGATGTTCATGATATCAATCACTGGATTGTCTGGTCCAGACTCGATTATTTACAGACCACCGTCATATAGCTGGAATATTACTGAGTGCGGCGTTACACAACAAACCAACCAACCAACCAACCTTGTGTCTATGTGTATAGCTGACTGTGTAATTATGCCGAGACAACCCACTTTACACCAGGAATACATGCATCAGAAACTTCTCATTCACCGGAAATGATAAAAGATCATGTGACTGATTGCTGACACGCATTTTTCTTCTGTCAAATATATTTTATTAGTTTTACTATTTCTGGTATGCATCACTATTTGATAGTGATTCATAACCACATGCTCATGATATAGTCGGAATAGTACAATCAATAATTTGATACATTGGTAATTTGTACTGTTCATTACCAAGTTAGGTCTGAGAAATGAATGGTGTGGTTCTGGTTATAGGGAATTACTGATAATGGAAAATAATATTTTGTCATTATCATTATCTCTCAAGAATTCTGGGGCGGTGGTGTAGTCTGGTGGTCAGTGTAATTCTTTCAAGTTGAAAATTGCTTCACAATTCTTGTCCATTCCATACAGAAGATTGTATGTACAATTCATTCCACATAAATATGCCATATGTTCTATTTATTATGAGTTCCCTTGCATAATTTTCATTATCATACTCTGTAAAAAAAGTGTAATTGCGGTAGACTGTAAGTGCTTCTTGCAGAAAGTGATTATATTTGATGATATATTTGGAGGTATAGTAGCACTCTATATATTATATAGAAGAAGTAACATTTTGCGTATGAAATATTTCATAGGTTTGTAAGCATTCGTCATGATGATCAATTAGGCTTAAAAAAATAATAGAAATGGTTCTCTGGCAATGGTTTTTGAAAATATAGTGCAGGCGGGCGATGTCTTTTTTGGGGGGGTTGTTCAAATTAGTATGTAACCAATAAACAGTTGTGTAATCAATAAACAATTGTGTACAATCAACCTGGGAAAGGGCCTCCCTTAATAAATGTATTCCTTGATGAGTAAAATACTGGAATACAGTATTTGACTACCGTTGGACTTGGAATATTTAAGGATTTTGTTGTTGTTTTTTAAAATGGAAATAAGAACAGGCGTGCAGCGAACTTTATGATGATACAGGCGCTGCCTGAGAACCAAGACTATTATTTTTTTTAGCCTTTGAAGTTAACTACCCCGATAATATAGCCTGCCATCCTACATGTAGTATTTCATTACTAAAGACAAAATATAATGAATAATTTTCTATGGCTGCCTGACCTCAAGTAATTCGACTAAAAGGATCCTTGCTCTCCAAGTACCAGGTCATATTTACTGGAATATTGCTGACTGCGGCAAAAAACAACATTCGCTTTCTCTATACAGTGCACAACATCTGTCTTGAAATGCATGTATAAGTCAGTGGATCATTGTGTTTTAATTAACCCTGATAAATTCACTGACACTTGCTCCCTTTGGAGTAATTAATGGAAAGGGAAGTTTGACACTTCTCAAGACCATAAATCTACCCAAAGCTATTCATGCTGCTTAATTACTGAGATAAAGTGCATAACATACGCCACCATGACATTGTTGTCATACATTGAAGCATATTCTGAATTTGCCTGCAGATATTGATAGCTTCATGTCTGTCTAGAATCCGATCAAAGATAAATCTTCTGAACTTGGAAGTATTGTGATGAGAAAAAGTGGTGAAAGTTGGAATTAAGCCTCCTTTGCTTCAAAGTCTTGATTTTCAATCTCAGTGACTGAGACATGGAAGAGTGTTGTAATGTGCGCCCACTGAGGGATTCTACCATGTCAAGGTGTGACTGCACAACAGTACTTGATGGATGGTAATGACTGGGCAAGTTCATCTGCTGGGGACTAAATCTCACTGGTGACATTACAGTGTTGCTGATCTGCACCATTAGCTCCTCGTTAGATATCACAGACATGCAATTAGTGAAATTCATAGCCTTGAGTTAGTCCAAGTAAACTCTGGTGGCGATCAGGTGAGGTGAAATGGGGTCTAACATTGCGTCCAAGATTATTGCACTTATAATGCGACGTGCATATATATATGTGTGTGGTTGCTGGTTGTACTAGTCAGGACTTATACTGATTTTATAGTGCTAGCCCACTGAGATACTATGCCGCAGTTAACATGAATATCCCACTCAGACACAGGATACTGACTTGGAGCTGACCAGTCCTTGTTTTAGTCCCTGAATGCCGAGCACCAGACAGGCCAACAACAAGAACCATCTTTTATTGCTTTTGGTATGACGCAGCTGAGAATCGAACCCTGGATCTTTCGCTCTCTGGGCGGGCTCTCAACCTCCAGACCCCAGAGGCGGTTTACAAGGAAGGTGTACTTTCAGAGAAGTTAGAAGTTATTCGTCACTGGATGGAACATGTTTTGTGTGTAGTTGAAGATTTTTAGGAAGTCATATTGCTAGATCAGAAATACTGTTGTTGTTGCATTATATTCATGGTTGAGGAATAGTTCACAAAAACTAGTACTGAACAGAAATCTGGTAATGGTTCACCAGATCTAGTACTGGACAGAAACCTGGTAATGGTTCACAAGAACTAGTACTGGACAGAAACCTGGTAATTGTTCACCAGAACTAGTACTGGACAGAAACCTGGTAATGGTTCACAAGAACTAGTACTGGACAGAAACCTGGTAATGGTTCACAAGAACTAGTACTGGACAGAAACCTGGTAATTGTTCACCAGAACTAGTACTGGACAGAAACCTGGTAATGGTTCACAAGAACTAGTACTGGACAGAAACCTGGTAATTGTTCACCAGAACTAGTCCTGGACAGAAACCTGGTAATGGTTCACAAGAACTAGTCCTGGACAGAAACCTGGTAATTGTTCACAAGAACTAGTCCTGGACAGAAACCTGGTAATTGTTCACCAGAACTAGTACTGGACAGAAACCTGGTAATTGTTCACCAGATCTAGTACTGGACAGAAACCTGGTAATGGTTCACAAGAACTAGTACTGGACAGAAACCTTGTAATTGTTCACAAAAACTAGTACTGGACAGAAACCTGGTAATTGTTCACCAGAACTAGTACTGGACAGAAACCTGGTAATTGTTCACCAGAACTAGTACTGGACAGAAACCTGGTAATGGTTCATAAGAACTAGTACTGGACAGAAACCTGGTAATTGTTCACCAGAACTAGTACTGGACAGAAACCTGGTAATGGTTCACCAGAACTAGTACTGCACAGAAACCTGGTAATTGTTCACCAGAACTAGTACTGGACAGAAACCTGGTAATGGTTCATAAGAACTAGTACTGGACAGAAACCTGGTAATTGTTCACCAGAACTAGTACTGGACAGAAACCTGGTAATGGTTCACCAGAACTAGTACTGGACAGAAACCTGGTAATTGTTCACCAGAACTAGTCCTGGACAGAAACCTGGTAATTG